CCCGCCTCCCCGCCCCGCCCCGCCGCTCGGCTGGGCGCTTGCAAACGATCGCGCTCGCTCGCGTCCGTGCCCGCCAGCGCCAGCGCGGCGGGACGGGGCGGGGAGGCCGTGACATTCGAGCGGATCGTCACGCAGGACACGCCCGTCGCCGTGCGCGACACCCGACCCGAGCCGCACCACCCGCGGCCACATCCTGGCGGCCTGGCGGCCTGGTGGCGGTGGGCACGGCGTCCGCGGGGCCGCGGCCGTGAGGAGCGTGCCGGCGGCGGAGAACAAGAAGAGCGGCGACTGGAATGTGTGGGAAGCGATGCGCCTCCAGCCGCGGCCGGCGGGGTCATCCTGAGGGGAGGAGGAGGAGGAGGGGGCTGTGCGTGTGGCGGAGTGAAGGAGAGGTGGGCCGCCCAGCCAAGGCGCCCTTTGGCACGCCGGTGAGAGGAGCGGCCGCGGCGCATCCTGCGACCTCCATCAGGCCCCTCCGTCCCCGCCCCGCCCCCCGCAGCGCCACGAGTATGTCAGTCAGAGGGCGGAGGCGCAGTGTACAGCCCCGCTGGTCCCCGCACCCCCGCCCCCGCCCCACCTCGACGTGGCCGAGTAGTCCTTTGTGTCGCACCTTTGGCATTGGTGGAGCTGTCAAAGTGGTGGCCAGGCAGGCAGGCCCAGGCCAGCAGGCCGTACGGCCCAGGCCGGCCGACCGGCCCTGGAGGCGAGAGGCGTGCGCAGGGGCGTGCCGCGTGCCCAAGGCGTTCCCTGCCTGTGCCGGCCGAAACCCGCGCGCCGACTATTCGGTCTTTGCGTGAGGGCTCTAGTGGACCTCGAGAAGGAGGAGAGTATTTGCAACCGACTTCTCCGCCTGGAGGTTCCAGCGACTCCCTAAAGCAAATCCTGCTGGACCCGCTCGTGACCGCCTCCAGTACCGTCAGCCCGCGCGCCAACCGCACGGCGTCCGCTCAGCGACCACATAGTGACCACGCGCTGACCCTGCCGGGCCTTCCATAGGCTGGCCGCAGCCCGCGCCTGCCACCCTGCTGGTCGCTCCATTCAGTGCGGTCGAGTCGAGTCATGTGCTGCTGGACGAAAAATGAGAATAGAGCCCCCTCCTCCCCCCTCCTCGCCCCGCCGACGGCCAGCTCCGCTCCCCAGGGGTTGTCATTGACCTGGATTGCCCGGCCAGACGCCTCCGGACGGCGGGGAGCGCAGCGGCGGGCCCAAAGGCGGGCCGGGCGGGGCACCTGATTTTGTTGTCCTCGCCGTGCGGGCCGGAACTGTTTGCAGCCGCCTTAAAACCTTTTGCCTCCCGGACGAGTGTGTTGCCGTGCGCCTCGGCTCAAGGTGTTCCGCCCCCGCCCCGCCCCGCCCCGCCGCTCCGCCTCCTCCGCTACGCGCAGTTGGTTGGTCAGGCCCTCCCGCGGCGACATGACGAGGGGAGTCGCGGGGAGGGGAGCGCGAGGGGAGGGGGGCGGCCTTCAGTGACCCGCTGCTGCTGGTAAACAAACAGGAATAAAGGAGAAGCAGGGGGGGAGAAGGAGAGCGAAAAATAGAAGATTGAATTCGTTCTTGTTGTCTCCCTGCTTCGCCTCCTCCGCGGTGCGGGGGCCGGCCGGTCGGCGTCAGGCGGCGGCGGCGGCCCGGCACGCAAACAC